GAGAGCCCTGGCTCTGACGATCTGGGGAACTTCCACCAGCCGAGCATGGTTTGATTTTGGAATCTTTAGTTGGCTTGGGAACTGTAAACATAACATGTGGCAAGCTTCCCATTTACAACACTCTAGGCACGGGAAGAGGCGCCCTGACTGCCCACGAGGGACAGAAAAAGCAGATGGCGGGTGAGTTGGCCCTCATCACTCAGAAGAGCAGTGGCCACGGGACAAGCGCTCCACTTGACAGATTTAGCCTGCTGAGGAAGTTACCAGAAAACCCAGGAAGGACAAAGGGGCTGGGCTGAACTGTTACTGAGGGTGCTTTCCAAACACATCCCTACTGTGTTCACTTTTTTTGGATCATGTACGACAATGGTATATTCTTCAGTCTTCTGTGAGGCTTCACCACACAGTTCCAACTGTTTGATCACTTAGCCAAGGGTACCCCAAACAGGAACTCCTTTGATATTGATTCTAAGCTGGATTTACTGCTCAAAAAGATCCCAGGGAGGCAAATCCATTCTAACAATGTGCTCACTCCTCTGTTTCATAAGAAATGTATTTTCTTGAACATTACTGGACAAACTTGATACGTTTACTGTTCACACTTCTACTCCTGGTTAAATACTGAATCGCAACTGACACTATTTTAGGGCACTGAAGTGTCAGTCATTAGGTGGGGAGGTCACAAGAGATGCAAAGTAACTCCTTTGGCTCTTTTCTTCATTTGTCATCAGGCTCAATGTTTGGCTATCTATGGTCAATACAAAAAAACAAGTACTCCCTCTCTAAAGGATTGAAAGAAGGTCTGAACTAAACAACGTGTCCTTTGTTCATACAACAGTCATTCTGATACCTGAGTGACATTTGGATGCCATGAAGAGTTTGGCAATGTTCTACTTAACAACTGTAACCTTAATATTAAGAAAAAAAATAGGGACACAGTTGCCCATATAAAATGGCTGGTGTTGACAAAGAAATTTCCCATTCTTTGTCAGCACTCATTACTATACCTAATATCTCGGGGCAACAGGTAGTAGCAATGCTTTCTCAGAAATGTGGTCTCTTATATGAATTGTGTCTTCTAGGGCCATGCATGCAAGCTGCTTCATTCCTTATTGGGTCTTGTTTCATATGCCAATAAAATGTTGCCAGGGGATATACTGTCAGGCTTTAGGAAGGGAATGAAATCTAATAAATACCCAGGAAGAGAATTTCCCAGCTCATACTGGGGGTAGGGGGAGGGTTTGGAATGGGTTCCAGGGAGGGCTTCATGGGCATGTGACCTGAGCAGCTGCACAATGCTTACAACAGGCTCTGCTTGGTTTGATACTCTGCTGTTGCTCTCTTGAAGTTCTTAATAATTTTATCTTTGATCCTGTGTTTTGCACTTGAAGTCTGATGAGACAATGGAACATGCACGTGGGCAGAGGAAATGCACATAACATGTGCTCTGCTGGTTCCTTGCACATAAGCCTTAGCAGTGCCCCAGGAGCAGGACTATGGTGGAGCCACAACTCCTGGAAGATCAGAGACACTCAGAGAGAGCACACGGGGAAACGTGTTAGCACAAGACTGAGTAGGCGGGCAAGTGGACTATCCTAAGAGGCCATACTCTCCACCTGAACCAGAACTTGCTTTGAGCACAGAAAAAAAGCAGTGCTGTCCTAAGAAACAAGAATAACCAAGAAATCCTATATATCCTTAGTTGTGTTACTTCCCTGTGTTAGCCAACAATTTACTCTGAAAATGATGACAGAGAAGGAGAGGGAAAAACAGGGGGACTCAAAGTTCCTTTTCCTGTCAGTCCTTCCTCACTCATCAGTGAACTGAAGGAAGAGTGCTGGTACAATATGTCCGTATGAAGAATGAGCTAAAAATAGGTAAGTTAGTTTTGTGCAGTGTTTGCGCTGTTAAGAACAGAATATATCCACGTACGAGTTACAAAATATGAGCTGTGTCATCGTGGTGATTCCATATGAGTTAAATGCTTTATATTTGCCTATTAAACAATATAAAGACAATATAAAACTAATGCTAATAATCTAAATTTTTAATATTTCTTGATTTAAAGTGACATTAAATAGCAAATAAAAAACACCATGGCAAGTCAAGAGAAAAAGCACAAAAGAATGGAAAAAGCTTCATATTATAGCATGTTTGAAGACACTTTCCTTGCTTTTTGAATGAGGGGCCCACATTTTCATTCTCTTCTGGGACCCTTTGGTCCCAGCCCTGATTTTAGATGTGTCCAAAGTATTACTGATCTTCTCAGCCCTTGGGGGGACTTACAGGGGCTTGGGGTGGTTGCCCCTGGCATCAGGCAGCCTTGATGCTGTGCTAATTTTAGAACTCTCAAGGTGGGCCATGAGGTGACAGGGTTGAGGAGGCTCAGGTGCTTCAGGCATCACGCAGAAAACCACCTCTGCTGGAGGCTTGGTCTTGTGTCTGTCTATACTCTGAGGGGCCTGACCATGCATTAAATGCTAAAAAGCCCAACTCTACCACCTGAGAACACTTGGAGTCCTGTGCTTGCTATGGTGCCCTCTGCCTGGAATGCCAACCTTCCTCCTGGGGACAGCTTCCCTGTCATCCCTCCAACCTCAGCCTACATGCTTTCTCTGCAGATAGCCTTTTCCCTGGCCCTGTTTTACCCACACCCTCTATTTAGTTGCTTTATACAATGGTATTAGTTTGTGTGTCTTCTCTGTGAAGTAAGGGACAAAAACCCCGTTTGCCTTGCTCCCTGTATATCCCAAGCTCCTGGTGCTGGGCTTGGCGGTTCACGAGTCCACACTGTTTGCTAAATGAGAATGCAAGGAGACACCTGTGATTAGGACGTGTAGGTTATTCAATGTTTTTCAAAATTCAGACCTAAGACTTATCTCAACTAAGCAGCAAATTCCAGACATCAGCTGCTACACAATTATTTGAAAAGTGTAAAAATTAGTAATTAGTAATGTTTTAAAGAACAAAAGTACCAAAAAACTCTTTTTTTTTTCTACTTTTCTAAACTTTTCTTATTATTTTTGGTTTCTGGCCAATATTAGCACTTTTGCAGGCAGAAATTAAATGATAGAGTAGTTCAATGATTGCAAAGTTTTCCCTATTGATTACATCTTTATAAAAATTATAGATAGTATTTTATTTCTTGTTTTAAGTAATTTATTTGTACAGCATAAATTGAATCTTCTCAAGGTATAAAAGAAAAATACTTAAATTTTTATAATATTGACATGATAGGTTTTGTTATTTTCCCTTTCTTAATTTCTATACCAAGTTGTCCTCTGAGATGTCAACCTGGCTATTTTATGAGTCACAAGAATACAGCATTTACTCACCCACATTAGCATCAGTAGCCCTGGCTGGCATCTACATTAGTGTAATGCGGTTTGTCGAAAAGTTTTCAAGTGACACTGAATCTTATCCTTTGAACTTGTAACAATATTGTTTTCCCTAAACCTGATTATTCTGATGCTATATTCATTCTTATTTGAGAAAGCAGTGTTGAACAAAATAACAAAGCATGTACTTTATAATGAGAAGTTTGATAAGTGGGGAAGGTGACGTGACAAAAATCACAATGGACTTATAGAAAGCAGAATTTTCTTGTTTGCAAATGATTTTCCCTTGCCTTGGTCCAACATACTTGACTGATGAGTGTCCAACTCATCCTAGCTGACATGCAAACTGACAAGCCAATTGCTGAATAGTTCTCATTTCTGCCAAGAACCTCTTTCAAGCATTTGTGAAATAAAAACCCGCATGCTGAAGGCTGAATTGACACCAGCTCTAAGAGTAAGTCTAGAGTGCTGTGGATATCACTTCGAAGAATGCCATCTCCCAAACACGCGCTACCGGCCTGGACAAAGCGCGAGGGAGCACGCAGAAGGGAATAATGCTGCCCTGGCCCCCAGGGAGGGACCAGATGGGACCTAATAGCTCTTTTCTATGACTAATTTCTATGATAATTCCAAGTTGCCACATGGCATATGTATTTTTTTTTTTTAATCTAAAGACAGAATATCAGTCAATGCAGTGACCAGGATTTTAATGAAAGGTATTTTTCATGAACTGTATCTATTCACACATGATATTTCTCACCCATCCTCACCCCCACCCTTCAGCAACACATTACTTACGGTTGGAGTGGGAGAAGGATAGAGAGAGGTCAAACACAACATGTTTATGCTCATTATCAATACCAGTTAGAAACAAAGAGATTCTAAGTTTTACTAGGAGGTCAGATGCCTTTTGCAGCAATTCTATGAAGTCACCTTAATTTCTTTTTGTTATAATTAGACATTATGCCCAGATTTAAAGATTAAAGCATGCCAACTGATGTCTGAGAAAAAAATTACAAAAGTGAAATTTCTTCTGGTTTTAGAGAGAAGATCAAGGGTCGGTGAAGATTTGGGAAAAGTTACAAAAGGACATTTAGCCATTCTCACTGACAAGTTCCAATGCACCTTCACTGAGGGTGCCTTTCCTTGTCTCCCCAGGCAGATGCTAACGCCCCTCCTCTGACTTCCTAGGAGGCCATTCAAATTTCCCGAGGCATTTGCCCCATTCTTTGATTGATTAGAGTCACTGCATTTGCTGTTGGTTTCGGGCAGGCCCTCCGGGTGACCCAGCTATAGTTTCCTCAGCATCCCACCTTCTATGCACAATAGACTGCAACCCACAGGGATGGGCGGAGGGGAACCCGACCTCAGGCAAAACACCGAGAAGGGACAAGCCGCTCTTGACAGTCACAGCTTCTTAGCACAGACGTAGGTGACTACATTACGAAAATAAACTCTTGTGGAGTTTGGTGAAGTGCAATATTATTATATTTAATTTAAATTAACAGATGGTACGAAGATCACATGATGTTATTTTCAACATGCACTGAAAAATGTTCTCTTCCCTCTTCAACCCAGTGAGTACTCACCTCTCGTGACAAACTGCCAGGAATCAGGATTCTGGGACGGCTAATAGGTTACACACTCAAAGCAAAAAGATACAAGCTCTGGTAGAGCGGGATGAGGCACTTCACGGCCCTACTGGCATTGATGCACGTGGCACATATAAGGCTTGGCAGTAGCTTTCCACTCACTATGGCTCCATCAAACAGAGGCCCAAAAAATGGAACCTGTTGATTCAAAACAGAAAAACACTTACTTTTCCAAAACCAGTAAAAGTCAAACCAAAGACATGAGAACAGCTGGTTGATGTCTCAGACCTGTCATGACCATGCACGCAGACTGTCACCCACAGAAGTGATGCTAACCTTAGCAGGATATGGGTCGAGGGCTTTCAAATCAAGCAACACAGGTCTGCTCCACAATACTCCTCTACTGTGAACGCTTCAGCAAAACTTGTCATGATAAATTATCACCAGGTCATTCTTTTTTAACTTGTGTTGCCATTTACAGAAATAGCATTATTCTTTCTAGGTGCATACATTGTGCGGATTATGCACAATACATAGCCGTGTCTCACTGCACACCTCCTAGCCTTGCATCCTTGAAACCAGTTTGGAATTGGCAATGTTTCTGCATGGATCCTGATGTGTACTGACTCTTAAAGGAGATGATGACCACCACTGTTAACAGCTACAAGGTCCTACTTACAGTTCTCATTCTTGAACCTTCTTTCTTCTGCTTCTAAGATAATTGCATTATCCTCATTTCTTTCTACTTCCTTATTAGAGGCTTGGCTTTCCTTCACTGGACCCGCTTTTACTACTGGGGCAAGCCACAAAGTTTTGGTGCCTGTCTTTTCTCACTCTCACTCTTTTTTTTCTCCATTAGAATTCATCTACTCCATTTATTAATATGGAGATTATCAGCTTCATGAGGTCAAGGACTGGGTCTGTCTTGTAACTCTTGTTATTTATTCACTCTCTCACTTGTTTATTCATTTATTCAAAAATATTTATTATGTGACAGACACTGTTCTATTCACTGGGGACACAGCAGTGAATAATGAAATTCCTTATTTCATCAAGCTTACAATTTGTTGGAGGTTTGAGAGAATAAACAGTATAAATACATAAAATATATATGAGGCAGTAAAAGCGCTAAGGTAAAAAATAAAGCAAGGAAGAGCAATAGTACTCTTTCTGAGGGGGGACATCCTCCAATTTTAGATCACATGGCCAGGGAGGGCTTCAAGGAAAAGACGACATTTCAGTAAAAGCTTGACAGGAGTGAGGGATGAACCTCATATTATGAGGACATCTGATGGAAGAGCATTCCAGGCCAAGGAACAGCAAATACCCAGCCCTGTAGTGGGAGTGGAACTGCTATGGTTAAGAATCAGCAGGCAAGCCACAGAGGCTGGAACGGAGTGAGCAAGAAAAAGCACAGAAGGCAATATCATAGGACAGGTCATAAGAAGGGCCTTAAAGGATTCTGGATTTCTTCTCTGAGCAAGATAAAAGCCTGGAGGGTTTAGGGAAGTGGGAGATCTGATCTCACCTACATTTTAAAGGTATGTTCTGGCTGTTGTGTTGGGAAAATTGCAACAAGTAAGCATTATGGAAACCAGTTAGCGAATTGGTGAATGATCCAGGCAAGAGATGATGATGGCTTGATAACAGCAGACAGGATTTGCTGAGGATTACTAATGAAGTGAGAGAGAAAAAGAGGCATCAAGGATAATGCCATGGTTTATGCCTGGCAATTGGAAGGTTGGAAAAAGAACCTTTTCCTGAAGTGGAGAAGACCAAAAGGGAGGGTCACTAGTTCAATTTTAAACATGCTAAGTTTGAGATGCCTATTAGATATTGGTGTGATGTATGGGGGTGGCAGCGGACAGATCAGGCTGGAAGTCAAGGGAGAAGCTCTGGTTGGAGATTCATAAGAGTTATTTATAGATGGTGTTTAAAGCCATGAGACTGGATGATCAGATGAGTAAGAAAAGAGGTTCAAGGACTAATCTGTGGCCCTCCAATGTTTAGAGGTTGGCAACATGAGGAAGAATTAGTAAAGAATATTGAGGAGGAGTTGCTGGAAATGGTGGAGAGAAACCTCCAATGAAATGGTGGAGAGAAACCTCCACTGTACCTGGCACATGGCTGGAATGCAAATACTGGCTGAATGGGTGAAACTGTTATTTTAAATAATTTAAATTATTTAATAAATGCAGTTCTCCAGCATAGGTCTTTTAACTAATGTCAAAGACTATTTATTTGTGGAATACCTTTTCTGTGGTTGGCATTGGGAGAGGGGCTGGGTAAACAGAAGACTATCTCTGCCCAAAGGAGTAGACATGAGGAGCTGACATAAGGAATCTATGAACTAACATCCCTCAACAAAGATGTAAAAATCCCTTACAAATTTTTGGCAAATTAAATATAGCAATATATATATAAAAGACACTGTATCTTGATAGTGGTATTTTGCATAAAAATAACGTTGGTTTAAAATCATAAATCCATTAATGTAATTTACTACAATAAAATAAAGAAGAAAAACTGTATGACCTTCTTGATACAGAAAAAGCATACATAAAATTCCACTCTCATTCATGATTTAAAAAAATTCCCAGCAAACTGGGAATAGAAGAGAACTTCCTCAATCTGATGAAATCTTAGAGGAAAAAAATTTTTAACATAATTAACGGTGAAATATTAAATGTTTTCCACCTAAGATCTGAAAAGGCAAGGATGTCTATGTCACCTTTTCTATTCAACATTTTTAAACTTTTCCTAGTCATTACAATAAAGAAAATAAAAGAAAGGAAGAAAAAAGAAAGGAACATAAAGATTAGAAAGAAGTAAAGTTATTTTTATTTACGGACAACATGATTATGTACGTGAGAAATCCGAAGGAATTTAACTAGAACTAACCGGATTTTGTAAGGTCACAGGATACAATTTACCCTCCAAATCAATTATACTTCTGAATGTTAGCCACCAACAATTGGAAAATGACCTTTACAAACACTGTTCATAATAGCATCAAAAACATCAAATACCTAGTAATAAATTTGACAAAAGATACACACACACACACACACACACACACTACCAAACATTACTGAGGTAAATTAGAGACAACCTAAAAAATGGAAAGATGTACAATGTTCATGGATTGGAAGTTTCCATACTGTTAAGATAACAAGTCTGCTGAAATGGAGCAATAGATTCAGCACAAACCAAATTCAAATTCTACCAAGTTGTTTTTATAGATATAGATAAGCTCATTCTAAATTTATATTAAAATGAAAAAACGAGTTAGCCAAGACAATAAGATTTATATTACCTAATTTCAAGGCATATCATAAAACTATAATAATTAATATATCATGTGTTGGTACCAGGAGACACAAATATATCAGCAGAACAGAATACAGGGTCCAAGAATAGATCCAGGTGATTTGCAATAAAGCAGCATATCAATTTTATAGGGAAAGGAAAGTCTGTTTCAAAAAAGGCACTGAAACAAGCAGATAGCCATTTTTAAAAGTGAACCTTGGCCTCTACCTCATACCACACACAAAAATTTAGATGGCTTATAGATCAAAATAGTAAATCTAAGGGGCACCTGTGTGGCTCAGTCAGTTAAGAGTCTGCCTTTGGCTCAGGTCATGATCCCAGGGTCCTGGGATCGAGTCCCGCATTGGGCTCCCTGCTGCTTCTCCCTCTCCCTCTCCTTCTCCCTCTGCCTGCTGCTCCCCCTTCTTGTGTTCTCTGTCAAATAAATAAATAAAATCTTAAAAAAAAAATAGTAAATCTAAAACCACAAGGTTTAGAAGAAAACATATGAGAAAATCTTCACAATTTGGGGTTAGGCAAGGGTTTGATATAAAAGGCACCAATCATAAAAGAAAAAAATTGACTTAATAAAAATATAAAATATTCTGCTCATAATGAAAGTGAAAAGGCAAGTCACATATATTCACCAAACTGGACATATCCTCAATGTCCATCAATAGGAGAATGAATGAAAAATTTGTGGTATATTCAACCAACAGAAAGTTCCACAGTAATGAACAAACCACAACTACATGTAACATCATGGGAATGACCCAAATATTATGCTGAGTGAAAGAAACAAACACAAAGAAGTTCACACTATGTAGTTCCACTCACAGAAAGTTCAAAAGCAGGTAAAACTAATCAACAGTGACAGACATCAGAACAGTGGCTACCTTTTCGGGGGATTAGTGATTGGGAGAGGGTGTAGGGAGATTTCTGGCATCTGGCAATATCCTATGTTTACCTCTGGGAAGCATTAAATCATTTGCTTTGAAAACATCATCAAGCTGTACACTTAAATTTGTGCCCTTTTCCTGATTGTTATATTAAAAATATTTTTTAAAAAATAAGTAAGAATATAAAAGATTTAAACAATACAACAAACTCATCCTGATGGATACATACAAAATATTTCACCCAACGATTGTAGAAGACACATTCTTTTCAAGCACGCATAGAATATATATATATATTTTTAATTTAATTTTATTATGTTATGTTAGTCACCATACAATACATCATTAGTTTTTGATGTAGTGTTCCATGATTCATTGTTTTCATATAACACCCAGTGCTCCATGCAGTACGTGCTCTCCTTAATACCCACCACCGGGCCAACCGATCCCCATAGAATATTTTTAAAAAATTGACCATATTTTAGGCCAAGGATATAGAGCCTATGGGGTCTGATTCCAAGCCTGGTGCCTTTTCTGTATGGCTTGTAAGTTGAGAATGGTTTTTACTTTTTTAAATGGTTGGAAAAAAAATTTTGTGACATGTAATAATTATATGAAATTCAAAATCAGTCAAAAACTATAAAGTATTACTGGAACAAAGCCACAATCCTTCACTTACATATTGCTTATACCTGTTTTCACACAGAAAAGAGCTGAGTAGCTGTGACAGATACTGTGTGGGCCACAAAGCCTAAAAGATTTACTACCTGGTCCTTTACAGAAAAAGTTTGCTAAGCCCTATTCATAAAGCAAGTCTCTGGAAATTTCAAGGGGCTGAAATCATACAATCCTCATTCTGTGCCCAAAGAGCTATTAAGTTAAAAATTCACAATAAAAGGATAACTAGCACAAATCTCTAGGTTTAGAAATTAAGAAACATACTTCTAAATAACTCAGGGGTCAACAAAAATACTTATTTAAAAATATGTT